GAGGAGGAGTATAGGGAATCTATGCAGCATGATAGAATGGACGTTTCCAGGCTTATGGTCCGTGTCCAACAATTGGAGGAAGACAGGACGAGGAAGCATTCTAGGGCAGGGAATAGGTCAAGGAAAGCTGAGAAGAATTTTTCAAGGACAATTAGTATTGAAATAAGAAATAATCCTAGGTTTGAAAATGGACTTTCCCACCAAGGGGATTAAAATTCATCCAAAGGTCTAATTTCTTCTCAAAGATTGATCTTTGTTCAGAGTACCATCATCTTAGGGTTAGGGTTGGAGATATCCCAAAGACAGCCTTTCGTACCCGTTATGGTCATTACGAGTTTCTAGTTATATCATTTGGTCTCAATAATGCGCCTGATGCATTAATGGATATCATGAATAGAGTATTTCATGAATACCTTGACTCTTTCATCATAGTATTCATTGATGAAATTCTCATCTACTCTAAGACCAAGGAAGAGAATTAACATCATTTGAGACTAACGTTGCAAGTACTTAGACACATGAATTGTATGCCAAATTCATCAAGCGTGAATTCTGGCATAGATCAGTGACCTTCCTTGGTCATGTTGTGTTCGATAAAGGTGTTTAGATAGACCCCAAGAAGACTGAGGCTATTAAGAACTAGGTGAAACCTCTTACTCCCAGATATATCCGTAGCTTCTTGGGACTAGCTGGTTATTATTGCTAGTTTGTGGAGGGTTTTTCTTCCATTGCTACCCCACCCAGAGCTTTGACATAGAACAAATTTAAGTTTTAATGGGCGGAGACTTGTGAGAAGAGATTTCAAGAGATCAAGGACACAATCACTTCTTCCCCGGTGCTTACTTTGCCTAAGTGTTGGTAAGGTGGCCTATGAGTTGGCATTGCTTGTGGAGTTAGCTTATGTCTGTCCAGTCTTTCATGTATCCATGTTATAGAATTTCCTAGGTGATCCAATATCGATTCTACATGTGGAAGTTTTAGGGGTTGATGAAGACTTCTCCTATGAGGAGGTGCCTGTTGAGATCTTAGACAGACAGGTCAAGCGGCTGACAAACAAAGAGATTGCCACAACGAAGGTACTGTGGGGGAACCATCTTGTTGAAGGTTCTAAGTGGGAGGCCGAGGACAATATGAGATCCCACTATCCCCATCTTTTCAGACGTGGAGGTTAGATTTCCTGCTCTCATGTCGAAGTTTCCTTGTCTCTCCTTTCCTTGTTGCAATTGATTGACTGTGCATAGTGATTATGTTATGTTATGACTAGAATTTTTCTACATAGTTAGTGGTGTCATTCGGGAGTGAATGTTCATAAGGAGGGATGATGTAATAACCTAAAAAAATAAATATACTAAGTAATGTTTAGTGTGTCTAGAATGCGTGCGAATAGTTAAATTCACACGGATTGATGCGCGTAAGACCAAACCTTTGAACCCTTGCAACAGCCAAACCAACTAACTTGGGAAGTTTTTTGAGCTAGGAAAGGTTGGGTACAGCCACGTAGGGCTTCCGAATATGAAGATTTACGCGGATGAGTCTTTATCCGACTTAAAAAGGGAAAATATTATGTTAGGAGGGTCTAGTTGTAAAATGGTCTATTTCCAGGCTAAGGGTAGTTTTGTAATTACCCTCAATATGTAATTAATTTTTTAATTAATAAGGTTGAGGAATATTTTTGGTATAAAGGGCCGATATTGGTCATTAAGAAAAATTTTGCTCCACCCGGGTTCGAGCCTTGGTGGAAGCAATGATTTACTTTATCTATTGTAATTAGTGAATTAGTTAAATTAATTAATATTTAATTTGCTGAGTTAATTTAACTAAAAGAATATTTTTCAATAGAAAATAATAATAATAATAGTATTAATGAATAATGAGGAGTCCTAGTTTGACTAAGTCTCCACCTAACTCATTTAATCCTAATTCTCTCATTTTCACGTTTTTCATCAGCAAGAGACCAAAAAGAATAGTTCTTCATTTTTGAAGAACTTACACACAAAAGCTATAATCAAAAGCTAAGCTAATAAAAGAAAATCAACAACATTCTTCTCGACGGATTGGGTTTTGGATTTTGGTCGTGAGGCAGTGGTGTCGCGGGAATAGGCAACATTGAAAAAAGTTTTGAACGACATTAAGGTATGTTTTTCTCTCTCTTGTTCTCTTTCCCAAGAGACCCTTAAGGTTCAGTTTAATTGCAATTGAAAAACTATAGTTGTCCCCGTTGCATGCCCCTGTCATTAGATCGTATGAAAGATGCAAAGCATGCGTTTGTATGTCTTATGGTGGATAATTTTAGGTGTGTTTGAGATTATGTATTCAATGTGTATTTGAAAATTATGTAAGGAACGATAGATGTATTTTAGAAAAGTGTTTTACGTTAATTGTTTGAGCATGGGTGTGTTGTAAATTCCCTATGTTGCAGCTTGAATTTTGTATTCAATAAATGTTGTGTTTTCGTATATGTAAATGTTAAATGTTAAACCATGAGAGAAAGAGTGGATTGAAAGAGACCAAATTTCGAGCTTGCTAAGTGACGTCATCGTCCTTTTTGAGGAGTAAGACTAGCCTCTTAGCTTATATCATTACATTCATAGGTCAAAATTTGCTGAAAATATAAAAAATTTCTATATCTATCTTGAGTTTTATATAGACCTCTACCATAGACATAATATAGTTATATTGAGTATACATAGAATCTTCGTATATGAAGATTACTTAGTCTTCTACTTCTATTACACATATAAATACTATAAACATAACATAATCTTAAATTGATATCTCATAACCATATGAAACAAGAGTATATCAATTTGCATATCCAATACATCAACGTAATAAAGCCCCATATAGGCTTTACAATATTACTATTAAAATGAAAAGGAAAGAACTAGAAGTCTTATAAAAAGAACCACATCATAAAGATTGATAGTGGCATTGCCCTCGGAAAGTTAGGACCTACCTAACTTGAATTAATGAGAATTCCAAGTCTTTCTTCAAAGTCGTTTCAAAGCCCTTGAATGACCAAAATGTAAGATGTTGGGGGAAAAGGGAGAAAATAGTGTTAGTACACCCCTTGTACTAAGTATGAGACCATATGCACACACAACATGAAATCATTCTAAAAGGGACAGTTTATTAAAGTATGCTATTTAATTTGAAAAATCTTTATGCACAATCAAGAAGACCTTACTAATAAATAAGACATATTAATTAAATTAAAAGCATGTACAACACAAGACCAACAATACTAAGTCTAATCAAGTCAACATGCATATCACATAATTGAACACATAGTCAAGGCAACTGTATCATCAAGTTATTATAGCCACAAACATGAATAAGAGTTCATTGCAACATAACCAAAGCAAGACAATTACCCATGAACCCTAATTTAGTCAACAAATGCAATAAATAAGTAAATTTCCATACCCTTGCTCAATCAAGTAAACTCAACAAGACTCACAGTCAACGTCCAACTTCACATAGTGTATCATTAAAAGTACATATCATCATACTTTAGCAATAGACATCAACTGCATCTTTACAAGAGAAGCGAATATTATTTAGTATCTTTAATATGTAAGATCATCATATACATATCATTTACATTTATACTCATATACATATACAAGAACATCTTTCTCGGCCTTCCCTTAAGACCAACTAGTGCAATGTATAGGTAGAGTCCCATACCCCTACATAGAGTAAGTCACACCTTTCAAGTTATCTTAGGTAGAAACTATTTTATTACTTTATTTTAATTTCAAGAACATATTGCCTTAATAGATATAAACCATATGAGCTAATGGGGAATTTGGTGTCATGGAATCCTACATAAAAGGAAGGCATACTACATGCCAAGGTAGTACTAAAACATGAACATAGCAACTACGTGGATCCACTTGCTAGTATTCCTATGGGGGCAACATAGTTTAAAAACTTGGAAATATTTTTGGGAACCTCTTATGCTAAATGCATTGTAGTCTCCAATTTTAATAGTATATTAGTGATACTTCCTTCCCTATGTTGGACGGGACACACATCACTCTAGTTCACTCGGTGCTAATCTATAGTCCCCTTTTAAATATTTTTAATACCTTTATTAGTCATTTTAGCTTAATGTAGGTCATAGTGTCTATCCCTTGTATAAACATCATAATTATTGCTTAATAAGAATTGCACAAGTGAGGTTAGCACATTTACATAATCACATCACGATAAGGCACATTGGTAAGTAATCACCATCCTTATAGCATTTACATCATAGCAACCACCTCACAAAACAATATTCAAGACACTTCAATTCAACATTATACCAACCCTATCAATACTAATATAAGGCATACTTCAAAACAACATCATCACTTAATCACAAGTAACCATAATTAAAGTAAGGAATAGTGATCACAAGACTTACTCAATCACATTCACAATACCACCAACAATGTCTTACCACAAACCATTAACAAAACAAAATAAGGGTGAAATATCATCAAACAACAATAACCAACATGATAACAAAGCAACCAGAATAACTATATCGCAATCTATCACTAGTTCATACCTTAAGAAAAAAGACTTAGGTCAAAGTCGTAATCTATATCAATTACTCATGATTTATCATGATAGGACTACAATCACTACTACAAATTAGGTCTACAACAATGGATTTTTTAGCAACACTTAAGCCACCGTTACTATAGATGGTCTATTGCAATGGTTTGAGCCGTTGCCAAAAAGATTAGATATTATTGCTATGACTAAATAATATGTCCGTTACCATTGTGTAAAAACCGTTACACTAGACCCTCTATATTGCAACAATAACTATTATCGTTGACATAAAGAAATCTATGGCAACATTATTTTTGAATATTACTCTATCGGAACAATTCTATATTACATCCCTGCATAATTTCCCTCTATTATTTTCACTGACCCCACCAAAATTTTCATTTTTTTATTATTAATAAATTTTTTAAAGTAATATTAATTCTTTTTATCGATAGAAATTAGACAATCATTTCCACGAGCAAGAAGAATGTACAAGTTCCTTTCGTAATTTTTCTTCCCCTCTTTTCTTTCTCTTTGATCTAATTACAGGAGCTTAGCAGAAGAAGAAAACATAGAGGAGCTTAGAAGAAGAAGGACAATGGAAGATTAAAGTTGGGAAGATTAGTAGACGTAGAATGATGGAAGATAGTAAGTTGTTCTTCATATCTCTGATTGTTGGGTATACCTAAACCCATTTTTTTCTTTGAATCTGAACTTGTTTCTCTCTTCAAACCATCTCTGAAATCTAATTAAATGGATGGTTGTATGTTTTATTGTAAAATGTAAGATAATAGAGGTTTTATTCTTCAACTCTTGGAGATTCTCTTCTTCAATCATTGAGGTTACAACTGAAGAAACTATAACTTTGAAATTTAGAGATTCTCTTCTTAATTCTCTTCTTTTATCTAAAATATTTTTGTGTGGTTAGTGTATGTGAAGTATTGCTCTTTTTGTGGGTTTTTTTTATTAAGTTGTAGCTATTGTGGGTTTAATGTTTTGTTAAATTTATGGTGAAATTCATTGTTGTAGACCTATTTAACTTGAAATTGATGTTGTAGTTTTTGTCCATGAGTTATTCAAGTTGAACTTTGGGTCTCTAATTTATTGGATTTCGAGTTGTAATTTTCTGAGTATGAGTAGTGCTATTGTTTTGGTTAGGTATTTAGTTCTATTATTAGAGTTGGATAATTATAAAGACAGACTGAGTTTTGCTACTATTCTCACTAGAAATTGTTGTGAAATTGAAGGAAATAGACGGTTGAAGGTTTGATTGTGAAATATGAGAAATTTTTATGTTCTTTTCAACAACAACTGGAGGTTCTGTTCTGAAACTTTTGAGGTTATAGTTGAATAAACATCATTTGAACATTTGAGGTTTTTTTCTTGAGTCTCTTCTGTTGTCTTTAGTATTTGGATGTGCTTTTTTTGTTTAGTGTAGTAATAATCTGACTAGCTACGGAATTCGGTGCCATAAGAAATCAAATCAACTAAATATTTAACAAAAATGCTTGATATGGCATTGTGAAGGCAAAAATAAAGGGGTACTTTTCAAACTAACATCTTTAACATTGTGAACCAAATACAAAACTATGAAGAGAATCTACCCAGTCAAATTGCAGGGTATTGTATCACAACGAGCTCCTAGTTCAATCTCTGGGCAGCTTCCTTGGAAAGAACTCTTTCCTCGGCCTTGATTATGGCTTGTGACTTAGAGTCCATGATAGGACCACCCGACTTCATCCTGCTCTCTTGAAGTAGCCTTAATGGCCTTCAAAATTCTTCTAAACTCCATTTTATTAAGATACATTATTTATTCTTAAATATATGATTTTTTTGAATTTGATTTGCAAGCTGAAATGGAGAAACTGCAATGTCAACAGAGAAAACATGACGATCATTTATTTTAAGCTATTACAACAGTCATGGGTAAAGAACACCCAGGGATCGTGAGATTGTATGGACGAGGAGTTACCAAAACTACTTCTAAATGGAAAGCGCTTTCTGAGCCTTTTTCAACTTCTAATGATGAGAGGGTGGAAAAAAATGATGAAATTTGAAGACAGGATGCATCAAAGGATTTTTGAAAAAATAGAACAACAATAAGAAGCTATACAACAAGAAGTTACAAATGATATTCTTGGACGACTAAAGCGTATGTATCTAGGACTTCAATTAAATACAGACACATTGACCTCATTGGGCGCTCAACCACCACAAGAAGATATGCAACCGTTAAATCATCAATATTCTAGCAAAAACAATCAAGGTATGAAAGTTATTGTTTTTCTTCTTCTTCACTTCCACAGTAGCTTGGCTTGAATGTGCTGCCTATATCTATATACTGATGTTGTTTCTGGACTATTTCTACGACTATCTAAATGTGCTTCCTATGTCTATGTACCAATGTTGTGTTTGGACTATTTTTGCGTCTGTTCCAATATGTTACCTATGCCGATGTATGAAAGTCGTTTCTCGACTATTTCTGCGACTGTTGGAATGTGCTGCAATATATGTCCCTGTATCAATGTTGTTTCTTCATTGTTTGTGCGATTGTTTGAATGTGCAGCCTCTTTCTACATATCTATATTGTTTCTGGACTAGCACAAGTGTGGCATGAATTAAAGTATTGGACTATTTCTGCAACTTTAGAATCTAGATCCAAAACAATTTCTTTTGCTGAAAATACGTATGATGTTCTGTACAATGTTCTGGAAAGTTATTTTTTGTGTGCTTGCTGTGTGTGTGTTATTTATGATGCATTTTTTTCCATTTCCAATTATAGTACATGAATTGGAACTTCTTGTAGGTTCATTGTGTTGTCTTTTGTTACTTTTTTCGTGGTAGTAGTTTCTTTCTTTCTTGTCTTCAGTTATAAGTGGTAACATGTATTTGTTTATCTGTTAAGTGGATTTTTTAGATTTGGATATCCCTTTGAGTATTCTTTCTTCTTTAATTTAAATGTTTGATCAAAATGTGATGAATATTAGAAGGTGGTTATGGATCTTGAAGTCCTTTCAATGAAATTTACTTCATGTTCTAAACTAATACATTTTGTTCTATAGGGACCAAATCCTTCGTATAAAAGATAGTATTAAATTACTCAATCTTTTCTACTTCAAGAACTAATAAAGATATCTTTTTTCTTTCCATTTAATTGAAATTTATTACTGATGAGTCTTATGAGGTTCTTGAGTTTTTCTATATATATTAGCAACTTTGCTTCCAGCTCATGTTCTTTAAGCAATGAAATTGAGTACTTAAATTTTTTTTCCTCCCATTCAAAGCCTTACACTTACTCTTATTATTCTTCAGTTTTCTTGAGATCATTTTTATGTTATTATATTGTTTTGTTGAAGAATTATAGTATTAATGTAAATTACAGTGTTACAATGTTAACTTTTGGCCCTTGCTGTTAAATTTCACTACACTTGAAATTGTTTTGTATAATTTTTTCCATTGTTTTTTCCCTTAATAAACTTTCAATTATGGTCTTTTATAGGTTGAGAAGATAAACAGGAGGAGGGGGATGAAAGTAGTAGTGATGAAGACCTTACTTGATATATTTAAGACTTACTTTTTTTAAGAAGGAGGATGATGAAAGCATTAGAATCTTATTAATTTAGATAAATTCTCTTTTGTTTCTTTATAGTTTGAGTATTTTGTTAAGCAACACTCCTTTGTTTTATATCTATTAGTATGGAAGTACAAACACTCTTTTGTTTTGGTATATTTTACCTTTATGGATATTGTGACTAGGATATTTCGAATTATATATATATATATATATATATATATATATATTATATATATATATATATGATTCCACTTAATATAATTAGTCGTTTCCTTTCATGATTTGATTTACAGAACTTCTTTGTAAACTGTTGCTATCATGTTTGGGGAAATCAGTATATTATTATAGATTGGTTACAATAGAAAATAAAACTGTTGCAATATCAATAACATTTGTTGCCATATTATTTAAAAAAGTGTTACCAATATGAAGAAGCTTTTACAATGGACTCTACTCGAACTCTATCTAACAGTTACCACAACCCCTAATGAAATAGTTCTTAACGGTTACAATTGTTGTAATATTGTAGTGGCTATATATAGGTTGTTAACCAACACAATTAGAAATAAATAAAACCATAAATAATTAAATAACCACCTAATTAATTAATTTAACAAATTTAAAAACGTGCAGAAAAACAGTCACTTGACAGACGAGACCACGAAAAGCGGTCCGTTTGTCAAACGACGGGCATTGTTAACTTCCGTGTTGCACACTCATCTTTTTCTGTAAGACTTGTTAAAAAAGTCCTCCAAGTATTTTGGTAACTACACATTGATGGATGAAATATACACCGCTTCGATTGGACAGCAGATCGTTGGTTGCATCCGTTGATGGACACTGCCTTTGGCATCTATTGATCCCAAAATGTAAGGGTCCTCCTCAAGGTACCTTTGTTGGTCCATAGGGAGTCATTCAAGAACAAATCTACGAATAAAATATAATATGGGGAAGAAAATATTACACTAATAATCATCAATTTTGAATTCGTAAAACTTAGTCAAATAGGTTAAGTCACACTAGCACCCCATTGAACTAGTTTACAGACGTCATGTACGTTCCTTGGCGTTTTGAATCATAAACTTCCTAAATGACTTTTATACATTAAAATTGATGTTAAAACAGTGTGTAATCCTTTTATCACAATTATTAGGCTCTAGAACACGTCTTAGACTTTCTAAGTGTTACAAATATAACCTTAATCATTAACTAGCATTGGACGCTAGGCATAATACTTAACATTGTGTGTTCATCATAAACACTCATTTATAACACAATTGACTACAAGGAAATTATCACATCACATATAGAATAACAATGAGGTAAACACCACAACCATAAGTAGTCCATACCACACAACGCCATTCATGGCCAAGAATCTAGCAACTCTGTCCAAAAGTATAGAACTAGAGCAATCTCACCAACTCACCCAAGCTTTTCTCGTCATTGATTGATCCTCATTATTAATAAATTATTCAAGTATAGGGAAGTGGCTAAAGGTACACTAGCATAATCAAAATCCACAATTTATTTATCATAAGTTCAAGATCAAATTATATATACTACCTCACAATCTATAGAATGTAGAGGAATATAGGTCAACCTCACCCAAATTTTCAAACCATTATCACCTTGGATCATTCCTCCACAAATTATATTCATCACATGAATAACAATAATAATAGGCAATTCAACATAATTTTAACATGATTCAACAAACATTTGATGAAGATCACAAGACCCACATTATAGGCCAATTTGAAAATTTAGGAGGATCATGAGTTCTTCATGGAATTGTATTGAAATTAATCTTAAAATCATTGATTAATCATAAATTCATCATTAGAATGCTTTTAAAATTAATTTGACAATGAACCATTAGCTAGATTCACGGATTCTCCCTAAAATACATTTGAAGGAACTCCTCAGATGAATAGATAACTACGGATGAAGGATGACCATACCTTCTTACATGATAAGCCCACAAGAAATTGAAGAAGAAACCAAGAAAATCAGGCCCTTGCTTGAACCTTGAGTTTTCTCTCAAATGGAGGTTTGAGAGAATTTGGAAGAAAAGAGAGATTTGGGATTTTGATTTTCATATTGAGTGTTGGTATTTGGATTGGGAAAGGGGTTAAATATGTCATAAAATTTAACGACCTGTTTAGTCGTTTTGAGCAACAAACTTCAATTCTGGAAATACAGGCTGAGGCGACGGACCAAACGACGTTCCGTCATGGGCACGACGGACCGTCGCAGGGTCTCGTTTCAAAACACTTAGAAAATCTGAAATTGGGTACTGAAAATCGACTCTCTGAACTTCGTAACGGAGTGGCAGGACGGACCGTCACAGGTGTGAT